AGTAGAGAGAGAGTAGTTAGTTAGTAGAGAGAGTAGTAGTTTAGTAGAGAGAGAGAGAGAGAGAGAGAGAGCTCTTTTTTTCTGCAGGCGTCTTAGCGCCATCGTGGGGTAAGTATCGCCCAAAATTAAAGAAGTGGAAAGAAGGAAAATAACAAAATAAACTAAATTGAGGCGAAAATAAATGGAGGAAAAAAAGGATTTAAGGAAAAAAAAAAAAAGGGGGCAAAAAAAAAAACCTAATAAATAAGAGGGACATGCAAAGAACACCCGATTCCTTGGCCTTTAATGCCATTTCGCCAGCGCCACGTGTCAAACTACCTCTCTATGAGGTGGCATAAATGGCCATGTCATCGCCTACTCGGCAAAACGCCAATGTTTTATCGATTGTAAACCTTCGAAGATAGGTAAAGAGTTCCACGTAGGACGATTGGTACGCTGGGACGGGGCACGTGTCGCGTTGTGTGGGCGTTAGCTTCCATGACATAGAAAGGACGAAATTGCCCCTACTTCGGCCCTTTTGTCGAGTCCCTTTCGTTAGGTTATCCTGCTGTGCGTCAATCATCCTGCTCTCCTCGTTTGAGGGAAAGGTCGAAATTGCCCCCTTTTTTTTTGGTCAGGTCGGTTTGCCCCTCACATTTTTCGAAAAAATGGAAAATGTCCCAATTGTGAGGCCACATAGGCGTTTGCAACAGGTCGGGTCGGATCCGGGTCTAGCCAGACTCGAACCCAAAAATATTATGGAATCCAGACCAGAAAATATTATGTGGGACCTGGACTTAATCGGGCTCAATTGAACCTGATTCAAAATTAAAATATCTATATATTTAAATATTTTTCATATTTTTATAAATTGAAAAATGTGAGACCACATTCCAAACAATAATTGGGTCCAAGATTTGAATCCGAACCTAAACCTGTACCCGGAGCTGGGTTGGTTCTAACAATTGGATCCGATTCCATTGCCACCACTATCCACATTCATGGTAGCTCTTGAATTAGAAGACCGCTTCCTTTGAAAAGCGTGTTGAATAAAGTATTAAAATGACTAATATACTTAGTTTTTATACCACGAGGCATTTTATCTTTTATTATAGGGTGTGGTTTGTATAGAGCCCAGGCTCTAAACAATCAAATTAGAGCCTATCTTCAAATAGTATTGGGAAATATGATTTTAATATTGGAAATCTTTGTAATAGCTTTAATATATATTTTATATTCATTTATAAAGTTTAAAGCTTCAAAAATAGTGTAGATCGATAGATCTATGAAAACTTGAAAATTTTAAAAATTGATGGTCCAACAATACATTACAAAATACACTATTTCCAAAACTTGAAATCCATTTTTTTCTCATGTCTATGCACTTTTATGTTGAGATGATCAATTTGAAAATACTTGAGAATGAAAACAACCTCTTCTAATGAAATTTATGAAGTAGGCTCAAATTTAATTGTTTAGAACGTTGGCTTTAAATGAACTTTTCCTTTTATTATAAGGAGGCCACAATTGCTAATTGTCCTTAGTTTGTTCTTAGGATGGCTTAAGGTGTCTTATAAAGTTTGAGAATTTTTTTTTTAATTTTGAGTATAATCAGTGACATAATCACAGTTATCCAATTTGAAATCCGATAAACAAGAGTGATTAATACATTGTTCATAGGTAGTTTGATAAATCCTTATAAGATGAATTATTTAATTATTTCAAATACTTATAAGATGAATTATTTAAATTTTTTTTATATACTCATATTTAATTTTTAAATATCTATCAAAACACATGAGTTTGAGTTGGAATAGTTTATAAATGTGTAAAATATTAATAAATTGTTCATAGGTAGTTTGATAAATTTCTTTTTTTTTCCCTATTTCTTTTGTGCCGCAAATTTATATACTTTTGATGAAGCCGCATCTTAAAACTAGGGCTAGTAGCTACAGACCCAGCCACCCCTGTCCTTTGGCCAAGCTAGTCCCTTTGGGGGCAGCCCAAGACTGGCCCACCCTTAACCTAACCAAAGCAACCTCAGCCCAAGCCTAGCCCTAGCTTATGAGGGCCGGACGAAGCCACATAGAATCAAATAAAAAATAAAGGAAAAAAAAACGGTAGGGTCAATCCAAGCCAAATAGAATCAAAGAAAAATAAATGAAAAGAATAAGTGTCGGGCCGAGCTGAACTAGGCCAGACATCAGTGCAACCTAAACATGTCATAGTCCAAGCCCATGCCTGGCCAGACCTACCTTTCGCTTGTGATGACCCGCCCTCAAACCACACTTTTTATCCAAGCCCTAACTATTCAGGGCCACGTGGACCACCCCTACTTACAACTCCCCTTGAAAATGAAATTGCGTAATCCAAAGGGTGCGGTTCTAAACAATCAAATTAGAGCCCCCCATCAAATAGTGTCGAGAAATATGGTTTCAATATTGAAATTGTTTGTAATAGACTTCAAATATACTTTCGTTTTTAATTATAAAATTTAAAACTTAAAAAATAGTGTAGATCAAGTATATCTATGAAAATATGAAAATCTTGAATATTGACGGTCAAGTATAAGATGCATTATTTTCGAAACTTGAAATCTATTTTCTTCTCATGTCCACGCATCTTGATGTCGAGATGATCAATTCAATGATATTTGAGCATCAAAACAACCTATTCAAATGAAATTTTTGAGGTAGAATTTGATTGTTTGGAGCTTAGGCTCTACACAAACTTTTCCCTTAACGAAAAGGAAAACGTTGACATAAGGATGTAACCTTATAATGTAGAACTGCAGATGCACCTCACAAATACATTGGAAAAGTTAGTTTTAATGTTTAAAAACCCTTTGATTGATCATCTCAACATCGAGATGTTTGACAATGAAAAATAAAAAAATTTTAAGTCTCAAATAGTGCATTTTACAACATATTATCTACAATATCCAATTTCAAGATTTTCATGTCTATAGATCTACTTGATTTTAATCATTTTTAAAATTTAAAATTTTATAATTAGATATAAAATTAGATTTAGAGATAATCCTAAGAATATTTTACATCAAAATTATATGGCATGATAAAGTTTGAAGGTCCACCTTACCTTTACAGCAACGGACGCATCCGTGTGCGAACTGTCCCCTTAACCTAAACCTTGAAATGGCCTGCGATTTAGTTAATGTAGAACTTGAAGCTCCATAGCAGTCATGTATGGTGGATATGAACAACCTAGAGAGGCGGTAGCAAGATTGACAAGCTTAATTTTTTTATTTATTTAAATCCACGATTCATGAGGATGTGATGATTGAATATATATAGGAAAATTGTTTCATGCGGGATAGACCACATAACTACATATGCGGTCCAAAAAGTATAAAGCATCCATTCAAAAGAGTATAAATCATTCATCTTAAAGATTGATGCAAGTAGGTGTTCCATTTAAAAAGTTCCATCTAAAAACAATGAAAATTAACGATCCAAATGTTTTCTTACTAGAATTATTATTTTTAATTTTTAAAATTTATTTATTTTTTCATATTCATGACCTCCATGTTAGAGATTACATGTCCTTAAAAATTAAGTCCAAAAATCAATCTAAAAAATAGATGTATTAATAGGCCCGCATTTCTAGCAATGCGAGCTTGGCTGCATAGAAACCGGGTCCATATATATATATCTATATATATATATG